ATACAGACACAGACACAGACACAGACACAGACACAGACAGACACAGACACAGACACAGACACAGACACACACACAGACACAGACACAGACACAGACACAGACACAGACACAGGCACAGGCACAGACACACACACACACACCGATATCCTCTCAGAGTTTTACCCAGTTTAGCCTCTCGTTTCCCAGGCTGTTCAAGGCTCCGAGAAGGTTTGCTTTTTCTCTCAGAGGCCGGGCCTGGGCTTGTTTGGTGCGGGCCGAGAACGCCAGCGACCTGACGGTGCAAGCCCGGGCCCCCAAAGAGCTCAAAGGGGCGCCGGGGCGGCCGCAGGTTTGGGGTTCCGGGTTACGTCTTACACGAGAGTCGAGTGACTTGCGAGAAGTTGTGAGGTTTGCAGGACCTTGTGGGTTTTCGGATCCCAGGGTGGCTGAATACAAGATTCAACTATCGCATTGTGTCATGTCGGTTCAGGCACGGCAGGGCGCCTGAATCTGTTCGTATGGCTTAGAGAGGTGTCTTGGCTAAAGCACGGAAAAGCAGCTACCCCAAGGTTTGGTTACCTCTTCTGGTTACGCCGTGGCTGAAGTCTCCACTCCATGCCAGTGCACACTCCACTTCCGGGGATGAATGTGTTGTGCAGGTTGCTTCTGGGGCTTGTGACGGACCCGTAAGGGTGCAGCGGATCAGGGGTGGTTTCAATTTGGGAGGACTTTACGCTGGATGTGCGTGAGTAGGGATGGGACGCCCAGGACGTGAAGAATGGTTGCAGTGGCTGCTCTTCCGGTGAGGCTGGATGCATGGAAACTGAAGCTGTGCCCCTATCAGGTGTGTAGTTGCCACGCGGTTCCAGGCGATGCTGAGCAACTCGGAAGAGTTGGAGATCAACATGACCGGCTGCAACCTGGAAGTGGGTGCCATGCCCTCGGCTTCCTCAAGATTTTCACATGCTCGTCCTGGTGAGCGCAGTTCTCAGGTGGAGCACCGCCTGGTTGCTTATGCAGAGGTCCGGCTTCCGATCCATGCAGGGCATGCCCAAGAAGACACGGCTCTCAGGACAACAACTATGCTGGAGACGGCTACATGACAATGCCGGGCACCATCACCGAGCCAGGAGGCAACCTTTTTTCTCCAAAGCCCAGGAACCTGGCCGTGCAAGTCCCGACCTCCAATGCCTTCGTCTCGCCTGCCAGTGCCACAGCTTTTGCGCTTCTGCGATGCTCTTGCGGCTTGGTGGCTTCTGCTTGGATGCGAGGCCCAGATCGTAGATGACATGGCCGTGCTCTTGGCACTCGTGCGTGCTCTACACGTGGTTGTCACTTAGCAGTTCGGAGACTCCCAAAGGTCACAACTTACGGCTGCACTGTGGAGTACGAGGTGGACCCAAGACATAGCCACCTATGGAGATAATTTGGCATGTCTGGCAGGTGGCTAATGCAATGGGCAAGGCACGGGACGGAGGGAGGGAGAGAGAGAGAGAGAGGGAGACAGAAAGAGAAAGAGAAAGACAATGAGAACTGGAAAGAGAAGGACTGATGCTTTTTCATCCTTGCGCCACGTTGCGAGGTCTGGGGTCGGGTGGTCAATGCCGGGCACGCGAGTCTCGTGACCATGAATGTGATCAAGTACAACAACCCCGCTCGCCCCTTACACCAGACCTCGACTGGGCGGATCTCAGAGAGCGTTGCACCTAGGCCATCTCTGTCGGAGGCCACCGGATGTTCCATGGTGTGGGTAGGTGCGTGTCGGAAGGTATATGTGTGTGTGTGTGTGTGAGAGAGTGGGGTGTGTGTGAGTGTGTGTGACAGGAAGTTGATACGAGCCGAGGGGTGTTCTCAAAGTTTCTGCGCTGCAGCTGGTCCCTGTCACCTGGTCGACGAGATGAAGGCTCGCGGCAAGCACACGATCACCTTCGATTCGCAAGAACCCTGGCAGCGCGCCTCGCGCTTTATGCCGACTCTTCCTTCTTTTGATGAAGCAGCTTGTCAAAGGTGCAACCTCACCAAAGGCAGCAGCTACCAGGCTCCGGTAGAAGTTCAGGCCGTCCATGGAAGAGATATGCAGCGACTGCACCGAGATCTACCTCTATGCAGAAGACATGTACAACAACGGTGACGGGATGTTGAGCGAGGCCAGGAAGGGTAATTCAAGCAGTTTTTCCCTTTCACCGCCAAGTTTCAAGAGGAGAAAACCACAGAAAGCAACAGCATCTCCCAGCAAACCGCGAAATTTCAAGGCCGTCACCTTCAGCGTGCCGCCCTCAAACTGGCTGGGCCAGTCGCTGGAGTTGACGAGCACGCCCACAGCCGGGACCCCGGTGACCACTCTACTCGTGTAGTTGCTTGTATCTTCTCACATGCTCCGCTCCATGCTCCGCCCTCCAACCTCATTGAGCTCATCTTGGCCTTCGCTTTTGCGCTTCGTTCCCTCGCCCAAGAGACGACGACATAGTCTTTTGGCCCGCCGAGACCGACGGCGTCTCGTTCTCCTTCGCGGGTGGAGTTGCTGTGGGAAGAGCATGGGTCGGGTCCTGAGAAGAGACGGTTCTGTGCTGGAGCCAGCCTCGACCTTTATCGAGGCACAAGTCCTGCTGACGAAAGACGTGGCGCTTGCAACGGTCGCCGACATCAAGGCCCTGCGTGCGAGCTTTTGGCGATGAAATGTATTGGCATGCATGCCAAGTCAGCCTCCTCTTTGCAGGCAGGCACCTACGCCATGGGAACCGGCAGCTGCCGGCAGGACGATGTAAATGTCGGGGTCGTCGCCTGAGACTGGGAGGGGATTGTGGTCGTGTTTGTAAAGGGCATGCAAAGAGCCCTGCGTCCGGAATCTTGACGTACTCTTGCACCACTGTGTTGGTTGAACTTTGTGGACTTGGTATGCCATTCAGAGTGTTGGCTCGCGGCTCTGCGAGTAGAGCCGAGAATCTATTTCTGGTCCAGATTTCAATCACAGGACAGTCCAGTTTCTTTCATGTGCATGCGCCGATCCCAGATGAGCGTCCTGTACTGGACACTGTCCGGATGCAGTCAGAGCCTCAGGCGGAAACGAAGGGAGAGATGCGCGACCAGAAACGTAGGAAGATATTTCGATTTGATGTCCGAGTCCACAGGCTTGACGGCACTGGTGGACTACAGTGTCGTGCTCTACGTCGAGGCCTGCTTCGAAGCGGGGGGAGTTGCAAGAGTTGAGAGAGTAGAGCAGAGCCGGAGCCAGGACATGGCGGGGATGGACGACGGCCAGTTGTCGAGTCTTCAGCTGGTCCGGCTCCTGTGCGCGAAGGGTGAGAATATGTGAGAATCCAAAGCAAAAGCTTCAGATCGTGCCCTCGGCCGTGAGCAACTACTTCGTGGAGACCCCGTGACATGCCAAGATTCAGGGATTGCCAGGAAGTTCTTGCAGCTTCTGTTGGATGGGCGACAGGTCTGTTCTGGGAAACGTCACCTCAGATGGAGCCAGACACTCAGTTGCAGATGCCTTGTGTGTTGACGTGATCTTATCGGAGTCTGGAGCGTGGGTAGTCGCCTGGGCAGGTGACGTTGAGCTTCAACGCTCAGGCTGCTAGTGGCATGGCTTGGGGCTTCATTCTCGAGGCCCGCCCAAAGTTCCCCAACAGCGTGCTCTGACCCACCGAGAGTTCCAGGTAGGCGCCAGCATCGCCTCGAGCAAAGAGGCGAGGCTGAGGCAGGCCAAAGGCGTAACTCACCGGCGTGTACCTTTGGAAGGCCAAGCTCGCGCAGAACTCCGTCGGCGGAGCTGGTTGGCGACCCTATCTCATCGATTATGTATGATTATGTCCTCATCGCGAAACCGCTGAAAGGCTGCAAGCCGTTGGAAGTTGCCATCGACAACGCCAGGCGGCCTGTGGCCTGCGGCCTGTGGCCTGCGGCCTGGCTTGGGCTTGGACCGGATGTGTGAGATGCCTGCAGGCAGAGCATGCTGTTCACGGACTGCGACCTGGTGCAAGGAGCATCCGGAACCCTTACGCGCCTTTCGTGTCCACTCACCCAAAAGCCAGGACAGACATACCGTGCGGTCGTCTATATCGAGGCTACGGCGACCTCGATAAGTGCGGTGGCCAGGGCCTCGCAAAGGAATCACGGCTTCTTCGGATCTTCACGGCTTGAGACACGTCGGGTGATGAGATCGACACTGGAGTCTGGAACGAACGAGTGTGAAACGGCCGCCATCGTCTTGCAAGAAAGGCTATTCTGCCTTCAACTTCTCAGGATGGGGTGTGGCAAGGCGTGGACATCACGGTTCCCCTGCTTGAGCCACTGGAGGAGAGACATAGCAGAGCACATGGCAGAGCGAGAGTTTCAGAGTTTCAATTATTAGACTCCCTCAGCCCACGACCGCGCTAGGACCCGTTGGCACGGCAGTTCCAGGACTTGCAGGCGGTCGGGGGAGGTTTCCAAATTCTCCTGGCGGGGGGGCCTTAAGTGCGCCCTGAGGTGCAGTCGGGCCAAGACTACGTCTACCACGTCAGGGCAGTGAACTTCATCGGCGTAGGGCGGGTCTCTGAGACTCCTCTGATTTTGCTCCTCTTTTTCGAGGGTACTTGCGCTGCCGCTGCGAGGCAGCCATCCCCGGCCTCCTCAGAGATCCGAGCCGGCAGCGGACCGCCCAGTCAGAGTGAAAAAGAGCTGGGTTTAGGGGTTTAGGGTGCTTCCGCTGCCTCAGCTGCCGTGCCCAGATGCTCCAGCAGCACCCGGGCTGCCAATCATCGCCACGAGGGCACTGACCTCCCTGACCGTCGAGCCCGCACCCCACAATGCCCCGAGCTTCATGCCGGTCACCAGCGACAACTTCTGAGGTGGGCCCCACCTTCGGCTCTCGGTTCGCAGATCCTGCGGCTCGGCCGCTGCGAAGAAGCAAGCAAGCAAACAAGAGAGAGTAGCTCTGCCCATGCCCCATCCCCACAGCAAAGCAAAGAGGGAGCTACTTTCTCCTCTTTCGGGTGCCGAGGAGCTACCGGCTCTTCATGTCCGGTCCGCTCGACGGTGGCGTACGGCACCCGGCTGCTTCGAAGACGGATGTGCATCTCTCTGCCCGGTCTTTCCTCCAAAGGTCTACCAGGAAATCTACAACGGCCCAGACACCGCCTACACGAAGGCCAGGCCGCAGCGGCCAGCAAATAGCAAGGCCACAGCCACTCCGACTTGTCGGAGAGCCTGCCCTCTGCATCTTTAGGCGATGCTCACCACCGGCACCGTCTACTACTTCCGTGTCTCTGCTGTCAACCACAACGGCCTGGGCCCCCAGAGCCGCTTCCGCGAGATTCCACGAGCCTAAGACCTCTCGAGATCCAGGTGAGGGCTGGCGCAGCGCCGCGAGGGAGGCAGCGGCCTGCGTGCTGCGGGGAGCCCTGCAAAACAAACGCTCTTCTCCGAAACTTTTCATCTCGCCGTTGGGGAAACAGGGTAAATAGATGGGCTGTGAACATATGATACACATAAGGCATACTGGCATGATTGTCAGGAAATTGCCGGAAGTCTTTCAAGGTTGCTTGTAAGCAGACGATAGGCTAGGGCGGTTCCAGTCCAACTGAAGCCTAAACCGTTTTAACGTCCAATCCTGGACCCAAAACCCGCCCAGACATAGCTCGTTTTGCGTTCGGTTGGCATTTTGCGTGCTTCGGTTTTCAGTGCGCTTCTTCCCTTCCTGGCGGTTCGGTTGCGCAGTTCCGGTTCGCTTCCCCGGTTTCAACATAAAGGGTTTGTCGTCGGCAGCATGGCCATGTTGCTGGAAGCATAATTAATCCGGGTCTTCCGGCAACACCCTTCCGGGCTTCGGTTCCTACCTGAGGCCTTCGATGCCGAGCAACTTCACCGTGAAGTCGCGGCCGGTGCCCCAGTTCACGCGTTTGGGCTGCGGCGCACTCTACAAATAAACTCTGCCGTGAGGCAACCTTTGCCTCCACCCTATAACGACATCTAACTACCCGAAGCCCGAAAAGCCTTGAAAGCCCTAAACGGCCTAAAGGCTGTAAGCCTTCTACAGAGGAGCACGCTGGGCGTGACCGTGGAGTGGTCGGCACCCATCGCGGACGGTGTCCCGACTCGAGACCTTTAACTAGGTAACTTGATAAGCTTAGAGGACTTTCGGGCCGCTGTTTGAGCGCCAGGCGGCTGTCCCATCCTCTCCTATGTCGTCACCCAGGTGCCTGCTCTCTTTGCAAAGTGTAGGGCCGCAGCTTTGCCGACTTTACGCGGCGCGTTGGACGCAGGATGGCGTCCTGGCCGCGACGCAGACACACAGCGAGCGGGGGACCCCGGTTCTCCATGCACCTTGGGTTTGTGGTGCTGTTCACCTGTCGCTTTGAGGTACTCTTTGCCTTTGGTCGTGCCGGCACAGGCACGAGCTGCAACGCCATGCTGCAGTGACGCTCTTGCGCAAAAGCATTGGGTCCAGCATCCGCCCACGAGTCAAGAGTGCTGGGAAGGGACAGGTAGATTCACTGCGGGGGAAGCTGGAGACATGTGCAAGCTTGTTGCACTTGGGTTCCTTACCGCCTCTGTGACAGTTTGTGCTTGCCCCGCAAACTCATTCGAGTTGGTTCGACTTCCAACCAATTGGGTGCATGTGCCGTCCCTGTGTCGGACAGCATGGCTCTGCGGTGCCAAAGCTGCTTGGAAGGGAC